CTAGATTGTTCCTGATCCTGAAAGAAGTTTCTGAGCTAAGGGTGCAGCATTTTTTTTTTTTTTTTTTTTGCTTTTTTTTTTCAAATTTCTTTAGACTTACAGAAAACTTACAAAAACAACAGAAATACTTCTTGTATAATTTTCTTCCAGATTTTCCAAATTAATATTACCACATTTGCTTTATCAGTCCTCTCACTCTCATTCTCTCTCTTTCTGTATTCTTGTTATTTGTCGTCGTTTTGTTCTATAAAGCCACTGCAAACACTGAATTAGCAAATACTGAGTCATTGTTCTTAAGGGAAATACAAGGTCAGGTTCCCATGAGCCTCTGGACACAACATTTTCCACAACTGTATTCCACAAATACAAAACTTTGCTTCATGTGTATTTCTGTTTAAAGATATCTTATTTAAAATATACTGTTGATTAAAGGTGAACTCATGGCTGACAGCACCATAACTCACACCTGAACAGAGACTTTCTAACACATACATTCTCTCCATCAGGCACGGCCTTCCCCCTCTTAGGAACACTGGACAGCACTTCAGCACTATGTCTGGGGGACATTTTAAACAGCAAAATCACTAATACAAAGCATAAGCATGTGAAAAATGTTATTCTAAATAGACCAAGAAAAGGACATTCGTTTACACTGTGAGGCTGAAACAAAAAGGTAGGGGATAACTTGTTCGACCTCAGTAGGATTTGTGCTTATTTGGCAACTCAAATTTTCACCACTCTGTGTGTCTCCACAAATGACTCCAAAGGTGTCACATGTATTGATTTGGTGATTACAAATCAATTTTGGTGAGGCACTGAACTTGCAAATATGGAATCCATGAATAGTGAGGATTGGCTCTATGTATGTATATAGGCATATGTGTTTAAGTATATACTCTACACATGCATGCATATGTAGCTATATGCACACACATATTTCTGAGTCATTTGAGAGTAAGTTGTGAACACCATACTTCTTTAGTTCTAAATGACTTAATATATGTTTACCAAAACAGGGATATTATCTTCTATAACCACATTACAATGATCGCAATCCAGAACTTAACATTAACGAAATACCATTATCACAGCTGAAGAGTTTATTTACATTTTACCATATATTTCACTAATGGCTGTTATAGTTCAGAATGTAATCAAGAATCACATTTCATTTTGTTGTCGTATCCCTTCAGTCTCCTTTAATCTGTAAGAATTCCTTAACCTTTATTTGCCTTTCATTAATACTGCTTTTTTGGTTTTGTCAAAGATGAAGATGTATTAATAAGGAGAAAATTATAACAAATATAAATGAAGGGTGAGGAGAGACTGTTCTTTATTAAGCATTGTTAGTTTCTCATGACGAGGTAAATACAAAGAGGAAACACAACAATGGGAAGCAAGAACTGACATTTTGCAGCCTACTATGCCACTTTCATTTATTCTTTCTGAATTAATTTCATGTAATTTTACCTTTATGCACATGAAGACACTGAGAGTCAGACAAGTTAAGCATTTGTGGAAGATCAAAAAGCTAGCAGTGGTGATATTAGAATTCAAACCAGGTTATTAAGGTCCTAAAAGCAATGTTTGTAAAACTTTTTAAAATAAATTTTATTGTGTATATTTAAGATATACAACATGCTGTTATATGATATATTAGATAGTAAAAAGATTGCTAAAATGAAAGAAATTAACATCCATAATTTAACATACTCATATTTTTTGTGTGTGGTAAAAACAGCTAAAATCTACTCATTTATCACAAATCCTGTATGCAGTACAATTTTGATAACCTATAGTCCTCATGTTGTACATTAGATCTTTAGACTTGTTCGTTCTACATGTCTGCTAGTTTGAACCCTCTGACTGACCTACATCTCCCCATTTCCACCCCGCATCGTCCCTGGCCCTAGTAACCATTGTTTTGTTCTTTGTCTCTGTATATTTAATTTTTTTTTTAAAGATTCCACATATGAGATCATGCAATATTTTTCTTTCTGTGTCTGGCTTATTTCACTTAGTAATTTCCCCCAGGCTCATCCATGTTGTGGCAAATGGCAAGACCACATTGTTTTTTAGAAATGAATAATATTCCTTATTCAAGTGTCCCTTGATGAACACATAGGTAATTTCCACATCTTGGCTAGAATAATGTTGCAATTAATATGGGAGTGGTAGTTCTAATTTTAATTTCTTAGAAATCTCCATGCTGTTTTCCATCATGGCTGTATCAACCTACATTTCTGCCAACAGCACATGAGAGTTTCCTTTTCTCCATACCCTCATCAGCATTTATCTTTTTTAATTTTCATTTTTATAGTAGACATCCTAATGGCGTGAGGTGGTTCTCATGATGGTTTTGATTTGTACTTCCCTCATGGCTAATGATGTAGAACACTTTTTCATATACCTGTTGGCCATTTTTATGTTTTCTCTGGAGAAAGATCTATTCAAGTCCTTTGCTCATTTTTCAATAGGATTATTTGTTTTTCTAGTATTAAGCTGTCCCAGTTCTTTTTTTTTTTTTTGAGACGGAGTTTCGCTCTTGTTACCCAGGCTGGAGTGCAATGGCACGACCTCGGCTCACCGCAACCTCTGCCTCCTGGGTTCAGGCAATTCTCCTGCCTCAGCCTCCTGAGTAGCTGGGATTACAGGCACACGCCACCATGCCCAGCTGACTTTTTGTATTTTTAGTAGAGACGGGGTTTCACCATGTTGACCAGGATGGTCTTGATCTCTTGACCTCGTGATCCACCCGCCTCGGCCTCCCAAAGTGCTGGGATTACAAGGCGTGAGCCACCGCGCCCGGCCTCTGGCTTTTATTTCTGTATGAGATTCTTAATTTTTCACTTTACAGTAGCCTCTGCCTTTGGCCCGCTTCTCATCTCACTGCCATCTCCATCTGAATGTTTCATANGCCTCAGCCTCCTGAGTAGCTGGGATTACAGGCACACGCCACCATGCCCAGCTGACTTTTTGTATTTTTAGTAGAGACGGGGTTTCACCATGTTGACCAGGATTGTCTCGATCTCTTGACCTCGTGATCCACCTGCCTCGACCTCCCAAAGTGCTGGGATTACAGGCTTGAGCCACCACGCCCGGCCTGTCCCAGTTCTTTATAAATTTTAAATACCAATCCCTTCTTTGATATATGGTTTGGAAATATTTTTTCCAATCTGTAGGATGTTGTTTCAGTTTGTTGATTGTGTGCAGAAGCTTTATAGTTTGATGTAATCCCATTTATTTATTTTTGGTTTTGGGCCTGAGCTTTTGATGTGATATCCAAAAAAAATTATTGCTAAGGCCAATGTTCAGGAGCTTTTCCCCTATGTTTTTTTCTAAGAGTTTTATTATTTCTGGTCTTACATTTAGGTATTTTACCCTTTTGAGGTAAATTTTGTGTACAGCATAAGTCAAATTTCATTCTTTTGCACATAGAAATCTAGTTTCCCCAGCCTCATTTATTAAAGTGACTATTCTTTGCTTACTGTGTCTGTCCTCTTGGTGCCCTTGTTAAAAATTTGTTGATTATGTATGATTGGATTTATTTCTAGGCTCTCTATTTTCTTGTGCCTTCATGTCTGTTTTTATACCCGTACCATACTGTTTTGATTACTATCACCTTGTAACAGAGTTTTAAATCAGAAAGTATAATACTGCCAACTTTTGTTTCTCAGAATTGTTTGGCTATCCAGGGTCTTTTGTGGTTTCATATAAACTTTAGGATTACTTTTTCTATTTCTGTAAAGAATATCATTGGATTTTGATAGGGATTGGATTAAATTTGTATATTGCTATGAGGAGTATGACGTTTTAACAATATTCTTCTAATCCATTAGCATGGAATATCTTTCCATTTGTTTGTATCCTCTGCAATTTCTTTTATCAATGTTTCATAGTTTTCAGTGTGCAGGTCTTTTACCACCTTGGTTAAATTTATTCCTAAGTATTTTAATTTTTTGATGCTATCATAAATAGTCTGGTTTTCTTGATTTTTTTTCTCAGTTAGGCTGTTATTTATGCATAAAAAATACTAGTGGATCAGGCGCAGAGGCTCACACCTGTAATTCTAACATTTTGGGAGGTCGAGGCAAGCCGATCACTTGAGGCCAGGGGTTTGAGACCAGCCTGGCTAACATGGTGAAAACCCATCTCTATTGAAAATTTAAAAAGTTAGCTGGGCGTGGTGGTGGGTGCCTGTGATCCCAGCTACTAGGGAGGCTGAGGCAGGAGAATTGCTTGAACCCAGGAGGCAGGCATTGCAGTGAGCCACTGAACTCCAGCCTGAGCAACAGAACAAGATTTGGTCTCAAAAAATAAACAAACAAATAAATAAATAAATAAATTACTGGTTTTTGTATGCTGATTTTGCTTCCTGAAACTTTACTGAATTTATTCGTTCTAATAGTTTTTTTGTGGAATCTTTTTTAACATGCAGAATCATGTTATCTGCAAGTAGATATAATTTTACTTCTTTAAATATACACCTAGTATTACCAAGAGGACATCCAATGAAATATTAAGTAATCTCAGAAACCAATGATTGCTATGCTGTCTTTATTTTTTCACACCCTAGCTTCAACTGCAAAAACATAAAAACAATACAAGAAAAACAGAATATCCTTTAACAAAACAAAAACATAAAAATGATACAAGAAAAACCGAATGCGCTTTAACAAAACAAATCCAAAGAGAAACATTAAAACTTTTGGTCTGGAGGAGACCAAGAGGTAATCTCATTATCATTTTTACCATCAGCTTTTCCCATGGGTATGCATTTACTTTATTGTTAATCTTGACTTTTAAGATTTGTAAAAGCACTATTTACAAAGCTGTTAGCAGGATCTCCCTTAAGGTAGGAGATATATGGACTTGATTAGTCTGTGTTCTCAGGCATGTTGGAAAGAGAGATATCCTGGGAGTTAAGTTTGAATTTAGGGACTGTAATTCCAATCCAGGAAAGTCTATCTTCTTAACTAGAATACTTGTTTTTCTCCCAGGGGTATAGTGAATATGCTGCATGGTCAAATTGGTTTGTATAAGTGGAAACTGACTGTATGTGAGAACACCATTCTGCAGACATGATGTTTGGTGGCATTTGAATTTCTAAATAAGAGCTAAGCAAGCTTCCCTGATTCTTCTGCCTTTATTTGGAAACCTATCATCAGAAACGTCGAAATGGAAGAAATGTAAGAAATCACCTTGCATGACTTTCTAATTTTTGAGTTTTTTCCTATTAAAAGAGATGTATATCTTTAAAAAGTAACATTCACAGAGCTTTAATGATGTGCTAGATGTATTTCATTACTTAATTTTCACAATTGTCAGAGGTATGTGTTACTATTTCCAGTTTACGGATGTTAAAACTGAGGCGCAATAATTTGCCCTAGGTCACACAATTTATAAGTGATCAACTGAAGTCTGAAGCCAGAACTAACCATAAAGCTTCTGCTCATGTCATTACATCACTCTGATTTCCTGGGTCTAATATTTCCATCCTTTCTGAGGGATTTGTTACTATGCTAATAGTTATTAATAAGCATTAGTGGTCTTAACAAAAATTATCAATTAGGTAAAATCTTCCTAGCCATCATCTTAAACAAGACCTTTGTATATCTAGCTCATATGTCTTGGTCCAGTGTCTTTAAAGATTTATTTCCATCATCTACCACTCGAAATTTCTCAGATCTGAAGGTGTCACCTAGATAGATAAATTAGTATTTGTAAATGTGAAAATGGGAAATAATTAGATGAGTACTTTTGGGAGACCATATACACATTTTTTTTCTAAGACAGTGTTAACATTGGTGTCCAATTCTTTGAGGTGAGATTTTTCAGCCAGTCCATGGAAAGTGGATTGACATCAGGTCTACTAATGAATAGAGAGGAGAACATCTGTAAAAATAGGTTATTAATTCTCAAAAGTTCTCTGTTATCTGTTTTATAACTCCTGACAGGTTAACAAAATCCATGCAGGAAATAAAAATAATATATTAGGAGATATAAAGGAGTCTGAGTTCTGCAGGACCAAACAGGTTTTTATTATTAAATTATGCATAGAGAAATTTAAGAATGCTTGTGAAAAGTTTTTCATTATTTTTCAGGCATGAAGATTTGAAAAAAATATAGTATCAGAAATATCAAAGTTCAAATAAAGCAGTTATAGTTTCAACTGTATGTTGAAATCAACCAACAATCTCTAAAGCTACAGCATTTCGTGTATTTCATTGTGCAAGAGAGCTTCAAATGGCTGGAGAGTTTTACAATACGTTTAGCCAATACCCTTTCCTTATGAAATGGAACATGGAAAAATTTTTGTTGCATTCAAAATGTCTGAAGATTATTGCATGTCAAAGGAAAATTCACTTCTGAGTTCTATGTGTTTAATGCTGCTGAATGAGAAAAAAATGAAATATTTGACCAATTTCTTACAGAGCTCCAGATACAATTAGTCTACCCATGAATAGAAACATGAAAACTTAGGAAATGAAATGGAAACTCATCACGATCAAATACATGTTACCTTTTGCAATTTCGAAGGAAAAAACCTACACGTATACATATAAATATACATGTGCACAGATTTTTCTATCATCTAGTACCAAATTAAGTTACATAATAGAGGGGAGGAGAGTCAAACAGCTATAAGGCAGGACAGTGAAGGTAAATTGCTTTTTTGCCAAGAAAAGGTACTATCTCTGATTCTCCATACTCAGGGTACTGAGAAGAAAATTTTGTAAAATAAATAAATGCTTACCAGAATCTGCATTGATCTGCTCTAGTAAAGGCATTGTATTTCACACAGTTACTGTGATTGGAGCTACCACCTTGTTATGCTTATAGTACTCTCATCTGCCATTGTTCATCTAGTATTTGTGAAGGCCTAGATGAATTAACAGAGAAATGATGCATCACTACTACATCCTTCAATTCTTTTATGGTAGTAGATATCCCTGCAATTCTTTGTGAGACATGGTATTTCTTCTGATTTACTTTATTTGGATTATTTACGTTGGCCAGAGGACACAAATATCAGGGACTTCCTACTATATTTCCCATTCCAGCCAATGTGACCTGCTATTTATATATCTACATCAATTACACATTTATAGCGTGAGGAAATAACCAGAGTGAGTTCAAGGACCTATGGACCCACTATCAGATTATCCTGAGCTATAACTGCATTGATTACTTGGCTTCTCTAAGCCCTCTTTCAAATTAGAGGACTGAGATTGTATTTTGCATTGCCTTGGGAGGTCTAGGTATTGCTTGTTCCTCAGTGGCCTTTACCCTGGCAAATAGCTTAGGGCTTCTTTGGAACAAGAAAGAAAGATAATTGTTATATATTCCTCTGGTTGACTGCAGGGTCATTCTTCAAAGAGATCTTATCTCCCATTCAAGCAATGTTGACACATGTAGATCTAGAAGCTGGATGAATAAGGCAATTTTCCATTATGATACCTGACATCATCTTTCTGCTCATTGGGTCTTAATTTCTTTTCTTATTGCACAAATCAAACAACTTAGAATTTAGCTATTTTATCTCAGCTGTATAGGCATCATGATTTATTCACCATCACTGGAAATCCCTGTGTGTCTAGCACGCTAAGTACCTCTCCGGTCTTGATGCCATGATATTAATTACGTCTACCTTGCCTCTGATGGTTAGGTATTTGCAACAACCTTCTGCCAATCTGGAGCTTATTTCTACAATAGAGAACAGTCACCAGTGAGCTTCTCAAAAATTCCAGCTCCCCGAACAACAAAATATTGATCCCTGGGCTTGATTAGAGATGGGCAAATAGACAAGAGAGGCCAGAAATAGACTCATACTGGGGAATTTGGTGTAAAACAGTAATAAACTTACTGGCCAGTGGGAAATCAGTGAGGAAAAGATATAATAAACAGGGCATATAAAATAATAAATAATCCAATAAAAATTAGCTTGGATTAAGGAAAAATAATCACGTTCCTAGGTCATATCCGTATCTCACACCATACAAAAATAAATTCCAGATGAAAATATTATAAAGAACAATACTAAAATGTTTTATAAGAACACATAGGAAAATCTCAGGGTAAAAAAAGACTTTTAAAATAAGAATTCAAGAACGAAAGTCACCAACTCTAATAGAAATATTGATAACTTTGATAATTCTAATATTAAAACTATAATCTGAAAGGCAAGTGACAGATTTGAAAGAAAATGTTTACAACCTTTCAGCACAGGATTCATTCCCAGACTATTCAAAGGATACCTACCAGTAAGTAAAGATAAAATCTTGTAGGAAATAAATAATATGAATAGTTAATTCACAGGAGAGGTTATCCAAATGGGAAATAATAATGAAAATTAAAGTCACAATAATTTAATATTTTACACATATCAGACTTATATAACTTTAAGTATTTTATACCTTCAAGATTGCAGAGGGTGAGGAGTAACAACAGTTTTATGCACTGCTATTGGCAAAATTCCTAGTAATATCTAAGAAAGCTGAATGTACTCACATCCTATGATGCAGCAATTCCATTTCTAGGATGATTATAATGAGATTCACATGGCAAATGTCTTCCTCCTTAGCTTGTCATGATATTTAAAAGTCCTACAAACAGATACATGCCTTCAGATTAAGTTAGTGTTTATAAAAGGTTGTGATTGAAGTGCAAACAGCTTTCATTGGAAGAATAAATTATTAACCAACAACACGGATTATTTAATGAATGTAGCTTTCATCTAGAGAACAGTACTAAGAGAGTGACACATACGGGAGAGCCCAAAAGAAACATCTGAAAAGTTGAAATTAATATTGCCTGATGGGAATAGACACATTGTTATCTTTTTTCCTTGTCCAGTTTTGATTCAGTTATGTCTTCTTAGCTAAACCTCTGCTGAGGTTTATAGGCATCCAGGTTCAGTGAGGTGTTTGGTTCTGCAAAAGCACCAGCTGAGAATACTAGTGAGGGGGTTTCCCCCATGAGTTCAAGAAACACTTGGAGATCTGCATGAGAGCATGGATATAAGGATTGTAAAGTGAACAATTCTAGAAAGTAGCTGGATCCTGTAAGCATTATGGATGAGGGTTATAGGTAACATTGGCTCTCATGAATATTGCTGGTCTTCCTGACTTCCAAAGGAAAATAAATAATTGAGTCATTCCAGCACTGAGCCTGGGAGACTGTGAGGAAAAGGGAAGATTTCTCAAAGTTGATCATCCACCAGAGGATGAGAAGGGACACTGTCGAGCAATCAGCCATTTTGGAGAATGCTGCCTCTTAGAGAAATCTAACAACCATTAGTCCCAGTGAGCAGTCAAATACAAAAAAAACCCAAAAAACCACAAAGCATCCAAAATCGTTATCATCATCATCATCATCATCACCATCATCTTAGTGGGTCCAAAAGCCTGAGAAAAGTTATGTGATAAATAGACCACATTCCCAGTGAATTAGAACTACTGAAATAGGCAGATGATAACATAAGCAGAAAAATAATAATCACACTTGAAGGGATTAAAATTGAATTAGAACTGCCAAAATAGGCAGAAAACAATATAAACAGGAAAACAATAATCACATGTGAAGAAATTAAAATAGAACCACATACCCCCAAAATGACCTAAGTGCAGTACCTAAGCCAAAAACATAACTTCATAACTAAATAAATCAATGGATCGACTATATGCTGCCAGCAATACGTAGCAACTGGGGCTAACTTACCCTCCCATAGTGAAAAAACAGAAAATTGAACAAATGTATGGAAAAACAGTTTTCTGACAGTGGGCAGCAGGTGGTGAAGGTTATAGTAATCCCAAGAGAAGGCATGAGAAGAGGCAAGCCCTACAATCTATTCATCAATTGATTTGTTGTCTGCAGGCATTTTCCAAATCATTGTGCATGTATGATCTTCCAAGCAGAACATAGTAATTTCAATGAATTGGGAGATAAAAATAATAATTTGGGTATTTCAAGGCAGCTAAACATTTGGGCCTGAGTACCTGAGGAGAAATAACCATGCAGAAAAGAGTTCCAGGCATTTTCAGAGGAGTTCCTTTGAATCTTTTGCATTTTTGAGGTGAAACTCCATGACAATTCTGAGAGCTCACATAGATTGGGAAGGTATTTGAGTTCTGACTAGTCAGACCAGAGTGTCCTTGTTAAAAAAACAGACAATTTAGTGGAAATCCTA